TGATGATAAATATAAAAAAAAAAAAGTAAATAAGATAAATGTTCTATATCAGCTATCTTTTTATTGACACAGAGAAGAAATTAATTTAAAAAAAAGAAAAAAGCAAATAGGTGTGTAGAATTGGGGATGATAAAAACAAGGGGAAAAAAATCTTTAAGAATATAAGTGAAATTAGAAAAGGAGAAAAAAGAGAGAGAAAATAAATATAATGTATAAGTTATTTCTAATAATTGATACAGAAAAAAATAAAAATAAAAATTGTATTAAGAAAAGTGAACAAATATTTATTATATCTTTTTTTTTGGTTTTCCATTGGGAAAATTGTATGAAATAGCAAACTATTAATTCAAATTAAATGTTATAGCCATAGTTTATTTGATTTGTAATTCGCACCAAACATTCCATTTTTTTGTCATCTGGTTTGGTATACAATAAGCCATTTTCGGTATACAATTACCCATTCAGTATACAACTGTATAAAATGCGTTCATGTTTGTATAAAGCGAGAGAAAAGTATATATACAAATACAAATACATATATTTTCGTCTTATACACTTATAATTATACAAATACAAATATTATTATACAAATTACAATGTATAAATGAATTTATACAAAACTGAACAATTTGTATAAAATTGGATGTATCTAACGAATTATACAAATCAAAAGCTCCATAAGCAAACATAAAATTTGCTACGGAGCGCAATTATGCAAACTATAGTTATAACATACAAATATGATTTTTATGTTTGCTATATGTGAAAATTGTTCTTTTTCATTTGATGTCCAAAGCCCACATTGGAGCCCCGACTAAATTTGGATCGTGCATTGCAGGGCTCAATCGTTGGTGACGCTCCCAACATGATTTTCTCTATACAAGTGTTCGAACGCAAGACTTTTAATTAAGGATGAAACAATCTCACCACTTCACCACAACTCATGTTGATGAATATTTATTATATCAGTTATCTTCTTTCCCGTATAGAAAAAAAGTACAATAAGAAAGGAGCAAAATAAAATTAAATGAAATTAGATTAGATTATGAAGAGAAAAAGAAGTTAAATAAAAAGAAAAAAGAAAAAAGAAATAAGGAGTGAAAAAAAGTGCAAAAAATATGTATGGAATCACATATGGTGAAAAAAAATAAAGAATAATTAAATTTTGAGGAAAAAATAAAATAAAAAACAAAAAAAGGCGAGATGGAAGAAAAGGAAAAAATAAAGAAAAAAAATAGTGAAATACAAAAGAAAAACTCGTTCGATCCAAAAAGATGTTTTACCTAAAAATTAAAATTTCATTATCACTTAAAGTCATCTCGTGAATCAAGTAAATCTTCTCTACTTAGTCTTTTAACAAATCTGTCTCTTTTCCTCACTTAAAAGTTTTAACAAATGCATCCTCTTTTCCTTAGCAATATTTATAAAGAGAATCAAACAAGTTCTTCGAGCTAGAGATAAATTTTTGGATTTACAATCTCTCCTTCAAAAAATTACAAGGAATAACAATAGTAATTAGTTTGATGGATAAAAAAGTAAATGAATAGCAAAGAATAATGAAGTTCATTTTTGTAGGTACATAGTAGTTTTTTCCAAAAATAATCTTTTGGGCTGACAAATTATGGGCTGTAATTTTCTCCTCATCATTACTCATGGTTGGACGGCCCAAGTTAACATAACTATTGTAGCCCAACAAATATTAATACTCTTGGCCGGTCACATAATTTCACTAGCATTTCCCCCCCTCTTATGTCCCAAAGTTATCCAGAAAAAAAAATTATACTATCAACATAATGCGATATAAATTTTAGGAAAAATTATAGAAATCACACATTTTAGTTTACTTATTACCATTATCCCCTATAAATTTTACAAATCTCCAAAATCCCTCATTTTCGCACATCAGATTAGTAGTATCTCGCGCATCAGATTAATGTATCAGCGCTTATATTATTGTATCTCGTGCTATCAAATTAGTGTATCATGTATAAAATGTAATGTATCTTACTTAATGATTAATGTATCTCGCTCATCAAATTAATGTATCAGCACTTATATTATTGTATCCATTTGAGAGATTTCTGTAATTATAAACTTTTAAGGGATAGATTGTTAATTTTTGCATTAAAAGTATGTGATTTCTGTAATTTGCCCTAAATTTTATCTCAAACTTAATCATCAAATATACATTTCATTCCGTATACCAACAATCCCTATATGTTCTACAACTTGGGCCAAATTACAGAAATCACATACTTTTAAGTCAAAATTACAATCTATCCCTTAAAAATTTATAATTACAGAAATCCCTCAAACGGATATAATAATATAAGCGATGATACATTAATTTGATGCGCGAGATACATTAATTGTTAAGTAAGATACATTACATTTTATACATGATACACTAATCTGATGCGCGAGATACAATAATATAAGCGCTGATACATTAATCTGATGCGCGAAAATGAAGGATTTAGGAGATTTGTAAAACTTATAGGAGATAATGGTAATAAGTAAACTAAAATGTGGGATTTCTGTAATTTTTCCCTACAACTTTCTTCGTATTTGGGTTCTCTTTGTAATTTGGGGCTCATCTTTTTTTGTGTATAAAGTAAAGGGGAGCTAGGAGACCTAAAACTAGTGGCGTATATCTTTTTCACGAAAACAAAACTCAATTCTATGAAATATAATAAAAGGTATAATATATACAAACATTTAAATTTTGGCCTCAGCCACAAGCAAATACTCTAATTTTGAAAGTCTATATATCTAGATATTTCAATCTAACCTCTATTAATAACTAATATATTTTTGATACTATGTGAAATAGATTTTGGAGGTATTTAAATAATTATTTCATAAGTTGAAATGTTCAACTTACCCAATAAGGACAATAAAAGATATTTTCTCGATCTCAATTTATATGATCTATTTTTTTAATCAATTCTAAAAAGAATGATACATTACTATATTTCATAACAATTCAATTTTAAAATGCATATTTCACTTTTAATAAAATGATTTATCGTCATACAAACATTTATCACTTATTTTAGATCATAAATTTCAAAAATCTTTTCTTCTTCCTTTCTTAAACCTCATGTCAAATCAAACTAACTCAACAAAAGGAATATATAAATATGATACTCAAAATTGGAATGTTTAACTACTAATCGACGAGCCCTTAAATAAGTAATATATTATATATGTATACTGAGTACAAGTTAAACACCAATTAAAAAAGGGTAGGTTAGCTCTTTATTCGATGCACACAACGGTTTCAACCTTTTTAGAGTCAAATGCCTGTTATTTAGGTTGTTCTTTTCTTAGTTAAAAAGACTTAAATTAAGGAAATGACAAACTGACAATTAAGTATTCAAACTAGTTTACGTAATCATACTTCGAATAAATAAATAAAACGTAAAAGAATGGCAAAACTACGTACGTGATACCTTTTCTACAAAAATAATCACGTCCACGTGTTGAAAAATATTACACGTGGCTGGGTTTTGGAGAGTTAATCATACTTATTTAATAGCTAAATACTCACGTTTCATGCACTAAACTCCAAAAGGCTAAGATAAGTGTTTTAAAAGACTATTTTGACTAGATTTACTATTTGGAGCTGTAAAGTGAAAAAGGGAAGAATTTGTACATAGCAATATTGAATTATTATGATACGAAATCAAAATTTATGATTAGATTAATTTAAAGTTTGGACATATAATTTGAATTTTTGAAATTGTATTTTCTATCATTAGTATGTAAATTGTACGAGTCCTGAAAATTATCAAATTCTCTCCATTCTATACAATCTACCAAATAAATCAATGAAAGTTCATAGATAAGATATTGAGATATTTTAAAGCATCTTATTAATAAATTGTATATATCTATATTTCTTTTATAAACAAGTACGTGTGACTATAAACTTTTAAATATGAATAATTTTATAAATATTGACCAGTCAATAATAGTAGTAACTAGTTATTCTTCAATATAATTCTTTACTAAATAGTTATTCTTTTACATAATTATTTCATATCCACAAATTCTCTTTATGCCGAGCATGAGTTTGTTTGTTTTTTGCAAAATTTAAAATGACTAGTCTTTATTTTACAGGATATAAACTCATGGGTCAAATTTTACTTTTAAAAGATTTAAAATCACGAATTAGAATCCAAATCTCTTCTTCTTCTTTTTTGGGAGAATTTGAAATTTAAAATAATAATTTCAAATCACATATTTAAATGTTGATTTGAAATCATAATTTTATATACCGCATGTCAAACTTAAAAACATAATGAAATGGTAAATTAACTCTCCTCCGGTTTTCAAATTTTGAAAATGAAAATTTATTTGATTAAAAATCTCAATAAATGAAAATTGAGTCGTGACCGTATTAGACCTGGATACTCTTATGTCACACTCTGCTTTTTCCAACTGGCAACTTTGACAAGTTCAGTAAATACATCACATATGCAGTAAATTTTTGTACAATTCACTAATTATCATACCACAAATTCTAATCTTATGGTTAAATAAATTATTCTCATAAAACAACCACACAGTTATTCACCTTTTATTATCAGTTGTTATTACTCTATCAATCGATTATAATCTCTACCTAACGCTAATACATTTGAAAATAGTGTATCAAGTAGCTATACTAGTGAATCTTCTGTTTCAATTCAAAGACAGTAGATGGGACACAAATAACGTTTGACACTAATTAGTTGCCTAAAAAATCCTACTTGATTTGGCCTATATAAAATAAAATAAAAAGTAGTACTTAATATTAAACAAAAGATAACTTAAGTAGTAAGTAGTCTATTAACTAAAAATAAGAAGGCGACAAGAGAATTGGCATAAGCATTTAACTTATCAGTGATATTTATGATACACATGCATGATATACAAGTGGGAAGTGGGGTCAGTTGTAGTTGCAGGTTAACCATAGATTAGATTAGGAATCAAGGTCAAAAAACACCAGTGGTTAACAAGGACAACCACAAAAACCAAGATTTTTGTTATCTACAGTCATACCCTCTCATCATAATCAAACTCAAAATCTCAAAAAACAAACTCACTTTTTTTTTTCTCTTTCTTAAGATGCTTTTTCTTTTCTTTTTCTTAATCATCTAAGTTTTAAGAGTGGAAAAAAGTAGATGTGTTTCAGGCATGGAGTTAAACACAAACACAACAACAGCTCCTGCTGCTGCTATTAAAACACCAGAATTAGCTGAAACTGAAACTCCGAGTCGGATCCAGCAACCAAAGCCTTTTCCGTTCAGTAATGGTGTTTTGAAACGGAAAAATCATCATCCTGTTGTGGTGGTGTACAAAGAATGCCTCAAAAATCATGCTGCTAATCTAGGGACTCATGCGGTTGATGGATGTGGAGAGTTTTTGCCTATTCCAGCTGCTAACCCAGCTGACCCAACTTCACTAAAATGTGCTGCTTGTGGTTGTCACCGCAATTTTCACCGCCGTGACCCTGAAGAACCGCCGCCTATCGCCACCGCGGCTATTGAGTACCAACCTCATCACCGCCACCATCCTCCGCCGCCTTGTGGGGACCATAGTAGCCCGAATTCCCCATCTCCACCGCCGATTTCATCGGCTTATTACCCAGCTTCTGCACCTCACATGCTTTTGGCTCTAAGCGCTGGGTTTTCCGGGGAGAAAAATCAGAACCTGCCCACATCGACTACGCCAGTAGCGGTAGCAAATTCAAACGGGAGGAAGCGTTTCAGAACAAAATTCACTCCAGATCAGAAGATGAAAATGCTGAAATTCGCAGAAAAAGTTGAATGGAAAATGCAGAAGCGAGATGAAGATCTGGTGAACAATTTCTGCAACGAAATTGGAGTTGAAAAAGGGGTTTTAAAGGTATGGATGCACAATAACAAAACCACATCTGTCTCTGGCAAGAAATTAGATCAACCAATCACCGGCAACGGCGACCACCAGAATGGTAACACTAACAATATTGTTAATGGGTTTTGTATTGTTAGTAGAAATAACACTACTCATCCTGATCAAAACAACACTGACTCGGAATTTCACATTCACCATGAAAGCAGCATGAACGATGACAACAAGAAGGAACATTTAAGTTTTGATGCTAATAATGTCGTTGTCACTAATGGGTCTTCTTCTTCATCTTGATTTTAGATTAGTTTGAATAATGTTTTAATTTGTAGTAGTAATTAGTGCAAGGAAGAGAAAAACTTTGAGGCTCCTACTATTACTCTATCTCTATATATTAGTTACGTTTATTTCTTTGTTCCTAAAGATTAGTGCTTAGCTTTATGAATCATGATATGATAACAATGAAAATTAAGATTGTTCCAAGTTCCAACCATTCCTGCTCTCATAAATTATGTTTGTTCTCACGACAATTTAGTGTTTTAAATTTTTAATCTTGAAAAAAAGATTAACGAGCTTCTAGCTCCATCCCTGCATGTTTGCAATTAGATACTGTATGCAAAATTAGTTTCTGTGTTTATGAGTCAGAGAAGAGAGAGAGCGGTATTCATTTTGATTCTTGTCTGTGATTAAGAAGCAGAAAGTGGCTTAACATGCATTTGGGGTGATTATGGATAATAATTCAATGATTATCACAAAATAGTAAGCATTGCTTAAACTGCTTTAATTTTTATTTTTTATTAATCCTCTTTAAATAAGGCGTAGCACTGTTTTAGGAAAAAAGTTTCAAATATATTCGAATTTTGATCGAAATTGCGGTATCAATCCAAAATTTAGAAAGGACATATTAAATATATATGTGTCCACGTGGTTATTATAAATAATAATTTGTTCAGCTGGACACTTATATGTCTTTAAAATAAACTATTAAATAGTGCAGGGTAATATGTCTTTTCCAAAGTTTAGAATTGTTACAATAATTTCGGTCAAAGTTCAAGTATATTTCAGACATTTTCTCCTTCTTTTTTTTCTTATTTTTGAATTTGTGCCGTGTTGGACCTTATTTGAAGGAAGAGAAAAACGTCTTTTTATCAAGAATTTTTTCATACACTGGATCTAAATATTTTGATTATTTAAGTGATATACATGTAATAAAAAAACTACAACTTTATTTCCTTGGGTACGTAAAATTTCTATTTTATGTTTTGTCAACCATCCATGGCAAAAAGATAGTCTAATTAATGATTTCCTCTTATAACCATTTAATTGATTTTGTAACTAATTTTGTACAAATGCTTCTATTTTGTAGGTTGGTTAGTACTTTGAAAAGGTTTCATAAATTAATTATATTCCGTTTGCTTGATGTCTTTAATTAATTTAGATTTTAAATCATTTTGGGTGTTATGTGTAAAGTGTAGTTTGGTGGCCTTTATTTAGACAAAAAGCTATCCATTAAGAGGATTTTTAAAGCCTGGATAGGGGTCAGCCTTTTTTTTTTTAAAAAAAAAAAAAACTTTCCTTATAAGGGAAGCAATCTAGTCTTGTTAATTTGTTATAAGCCAAATTATTAAATTGCATTAGTTTAACGTTTTTATTTTAAAAAAGAGTGGAAGTTTTAACATTATCTATCAAAAATAGTACGGTCTCCTAAAAGACATGACTTGTCTAAGTAAGTACATACACAAATAATAAGTATAATTAGCTACGTACATAAATTAAATAAATAAAAAGTCATGTATAATCGATATTAAAAAAATCACTATTTTTATGTTAGCATCAACAGAAAAGTTATTTGGCAGTTGCTTTAGCAGCTCCTTCTCTAAGACCATCTTCAATAGCAGCGCTTATTCCAACAACACCAGCAAGTAAAATGTTCAATGATTATTTTTACTACTTTGATTAAATCAATAAATAAGAAAAAGATAATAATATTTTCATATAGAAAAAATAGAAAATTGTCCACTATTTCAGTAATAATTTGTTTCATACCATGCCTATTTCTCGTGAATTTGAAAAATCGTGTTCTATAACACAGATTTTCACTAATACATTATGAAAAAAACAAATCAATAGTGAATCAAAGGATCGGAATTTCAACGGAATTACAATAACCTTGGGTTAGAGCTTTTATACATGTTAAAAAATTTACTAAATAAATAGATGTGAACCCAATAGCATATGCCATACGAGTTGTGAATAGGTGGCAAACACAGCAATTCATAAATTTAAAATCTTGAATTTGATTGTAAATATAAATAATATGGTCTTATGAATAAATTACATTATAAAATTCAATAAAAATGCAAAAATTATATATATATTTATTTATTTTTATTTCTTGAAATGTGGATCAATTGATATCATGTCTAAGATTAGGGAGATTTGAGATCCAACAACCTAAGTATGGGGTCGATGGGTCAGTTGGACCTTTCATTAATGTCCTGTCTCTTTATTACATAAGTGCTATTCCAATACATGATTGACTCTTTTCTTTATTCGGTAGATTTGAAATCATTATTTTCGTTATATCTAAATTATAAGGTCAAAAACTAATAATACAATCAGGAACGGAATCAAAATTTAAAGTTTAAGATTTTTTAAATTAAAATATTTTAAAATTATTATATAATAATTTATACATATTTGATGAATTTTTATGGTAAGTATATTGTTTGATTCATACTAATTAAATTCGATCTAATTTGCGATTCAAATCCTAACTCCGCTTCTGAATATAACTAATTCTTCTCTCTGCCTAAACATCACATGCAAACTTGTTTCTTGTCTACTCCGTTTAATTAGGGATAAGAACTTCTTGACAGATGGAAATTAATCTCTCACAACTAATTAATATAAACTTGATTTAGAAGATAATGTTAATATAGCATTTTTGGTTGGAATGTCCTACATTTAAAAAAAAAAGTATTTGTGAGTTTTTCAAGAATTTGTAAATTACTAATCATTTTAGCATTTAATTACTTATGTATTGTGTTAAATTTATATTATTATCCATATTTTTGGTTAATATAGTTCTGAAACTAGACAACATAATACATTTCTTATATATTTTGATTAAAAAAAACAGTTAAATTAATTAAATATTAAATTTATTGAATCGTGTATTATTGGAATCAAAATAAAATAAAAATATTAATAATTAAGGAATTAAAATTGCTATTACACCAAGAATATGATTGTAGACAATAAAATTTCGCGTCGAGAAAACAATAATCAAGAACGGAAAATTATGCAACAATCGTTTTATTGATTTAAGTGCGAGTGTTACAATCTCTATAATTCCTCTGAATTTCCTTTTTCAAATATAATTCAAGGGCTCTTGAGCTTGATCTTGAACTTGATCTTGAACTTGATCTTGATCTTTATTTTGATTTTGATCTTGGACTTGATCTTGAACTTTATCTTGATCTTGACTTTCTAGTTGAATTCAAGGGCTTCGAGCTTGATCTTGAATCTATTGGTCTTGATCTTGACTTCTTCAAATCTTAAACTTGAACACTTGAATTCTTGAATTCTTAAACTTGTAGAGAAATTGCGGCTTTTGATCCACGAGCTTTCTCTAGCTTCTTGTTCGAATTCTTGGTTCTCTATTCTGAGTTAGGAGGATCCCTATTTATAGTTTTAAAATAGAGGAGTTCTGATTAGAAGAGGACTCCCTTCGGCCAATTAGATTTAAGTGACACATCATATGAGCTTTATGGAAAGGCTTTAAGTAAATTCATATTTATTGAATTTAAATATTAAATCAATTATATTAATTCATAATATTTATTTGGACTAATATTTCCATGAATTTAATATAATCCGAATCATTTAATAAATTTATATTTAAATAAATTTTAAATGATTACAAATGTCTCTGCTTCAAGTTTTGTCAAAATGATTTATGTTTTGGAAACTAGGCTTGAAGTATTGACTTAATATTATAATAATTATCATAATATTATGAGGAAGTATCGACTCAATATCATAATATTATTATTATAATATCATAATAATCTCTACGTGTAAGGAGAACCATCATTAACCGTCACATGAGACATGTTAAGAGTGGGCTTTAATAAAAGTTTGGAGTTTATCCTTTAGTCCTAATGACCAAAGTCAACTAGGAATCAAATGGCTCACTAGTTTATTTTAGTCACAAACAATTTCCAGTAGTCATACACGTCGAATTTTAGGGGTGTACAAAATCGAACCGAAAATCGAATCAAATCACAAATTAAATCAAATCGAATAAAAAAACCCGACTAGTGGTTTGGTTTGACTTGGTTTGGTATTGAAAAAAAAACCCGACTAATATTTAGGGGTTGGTTTAGGTTTTAACTAAAAAAAACCAACCCCGAGACCAAACCAACCCGACATTATATATGTAATTTTAAAAATTTATTTTATACATAAAAATATTTACATTGATATAATTCTAAAATATTTCTTATTCTATTTCATAGTTTTTATCTTTTAATATATTATTTCAAGTTTAAAACTTAGAATTCGGAATGGTCCAATAAATATTATAGTTCATAGATGTTGATAATTATAACAAAACTTAAATCAAAATCAAATTAATACTAATGCAAAAAGAAAATCAATTCAACACTAAGAATGACAATAATATTGAATATTTGTTCTTTAGTTTTACATTGGTTTAGACAATTAAATACATAATCTAATTTAATTTCCTTAAATATTTAGTAATGTAACTAATAGTTATCAAACTTATTTTAGCATAATTTAGTACTTTTAAATTATGATCATTTTCATTATGACTTTGCAATATTTATTTTATATGATGATTTCATTATTATTTTTTATTGAATATTTTAGTGTTATCACTCATCTCATATTTTGTGTTATTTTCTTAAGAAACACCTTAGATAATTGTATTTTGGTTGGACTAAAGAAATATTTGGAGCACAAGTTAATTATATATTTGTATGCAAATTTTACCGAAAAAAACCAAAAATCTGAAAAAATCCGAGGTTTATTAGTTTGGTTTGATTTATAAATTTAAAAAATTCAACACAAATGGTTTGGTTTGGTATTGAAAAATCCGAACTAACCCGAGGTTGAAAAACCCGAAAAAATCCAAATTTTATTAGTTTGGTTTGGTTTATAAATTTAAAATTTTTACACAAATAATTTGATTAGATATTTGAAAAACCCAAACCAACCCGGTCATGTACACCCCTATCGAATTCTATTTGGAGTCCCTTAGTTACACGGCTTCTAATTTGACTCCAATTGAATGCTTTGTATAATTTATGTTGAAATCAAATTGAAATCAGGAACGGTTCTTAGCACTATTTGTAGTAGGATAAAACCACCGCCTCAAAATTTGATGCCATTCAAGTTCAAATTGTAGTTGAACTAAGAATCGTAGTCCCACTCAATTTCAAATTCATGTTCTTTTTCTTT